TGCGGTTATTTTCATGAGCACTGTCTGTATAATTATTTGCAGTAAAATATTTAAAATTATTAATTCATTTATTTATATAATAACTTTTTGTTTAGGGATTTTGTATACTATTTGAATTAAGTTAAAATTAATTTGACAGTATTTGGCAATAATATGCCTTGCTAATGTTAAATTGTGTCTGTTATTGTTTTCCATATAATAAAGTTTATTTTAATTTAAACAGTGTGCGGTTTTGCAGTGTATTTATTTATTTATATTAAAGTAATAAATTATTAGTGATAATTAAAATGAAAAAACAATACCGAAAACTAACCGACAAATCCATCGTTAAATTATGTGAAGTTTGCGGAGAGACGGCTAATGGTATGCAAACATCAAAACAATTAAAATTTACATTTAAAAACTATAAACATATAATTTATTTATTATAAAAATTAATTTAATTTGTATTTTATATTAGGATATAATTTTAATGCCATTACCTGCGAGAGTTGCAAATCATTTTTTAGACGAAATGCACTGACAGATAAGGTATTGAATAACTATTGATTAAATAAATGGTAAAATAATGGATTAAATACGATATTTGTATTGATATATCAGGAATACAAGTGTGCTTTCAAACAGAATTGTCTCATAAATGTGTCGACGAGAAGATATTGCCGGAGATGTCGACTCAAAAAGTGCTTTGATTTGGGAATGAAAAAAGTAATTTGTATTTTATTAAACATTTCATATATTAATTGATAAATATTAATATATTCATTGACTGAAGGAATGGATTCTGTCTGAAGAGCAAAGAATGCGAAGAAAACCACTAAAAAATAACCGCAAAAACAGGTCAACAAATGATAATGAGATTAATTTTATGACCGATTCTTCGTGTGAAGAACAAGAGGGCAATGAAAATGCGGACAACGATGTGTTGGACAAAGTGTTTGCAGACAATAGTATAAGCGATGAGGAGATTAATACACAAATCAAGGAAATCGAGAACTGTATTGAAGACAACGCATACGAGATGTCTGTGATATCCGTCGGTCGACCCATCGATAACTACAGCACAACTTTCAACGAGTTAGAGGCCAACCGATTGGGCGAACTGTTGAGCGCCGCAAACGAGTTGTCGG